GGGGGGGGGGTTAGTGGGGTGTCATAAATGTTAGACCTGGGAGTAAAAAATGCCTCCTGATAATCAAAAGACAGAAAAAATAAACGTAGGATGACAAATTAACCCTAAACAGATCAGATATATACAACATACATGAATATTGTGAATCCACATTAAGTCCCTCCTTTATTTCAACGCCATATCACTGTCAGTGCTCTCTATCAAAAAATATATAAGGTTACAAAATTACAGTGATAATCTTATTCCAATCTTATTCCAAACATTTAGGATGAAAATGCTATTTTAAGGGGAAGTAAAAACCAAGACATCACAGCGGAGTAGACTTTCATATTGATTATCGGGTCCCCACCATGGCTTGTTTTCAAGTGATGTGCCCTGCTAGGTTACAATTTTTGTGCACTTTCTATAACTAGAGATGTCTTTGGTTGCACAGTTCTGTACAGCTCAAATAATAACTATCTTCTGGATGTGAAATACTAATTTCTTTAAACAAAGGAATAACGAATACAAAAAAGATCCAAACTTGATCAGTTTGGTACCACCTAAGAACACGTCACTGTAAACATTGGCCGTTTTCACGTAAGAATGTTACCTTTCCACCTTGGCTTGACTTCTCCGGTTGTTCCTCATGGTACAACATAGAAGCATTATTTTCTCCAGGGTTGCTTTTTGGCAACCATAGGCTGATACCCAAGCAGCTACCTCCCTCGTAATTTTTTTGCCAGTATTAATAAATCATTTTTGGAAGAATTAAGATGAAGTATGTTGGGTGGTGCATTTCTTAGTAGCACCCCATTGTTTTTTTCTGCTTCCAGCTCCGAGCACAAAGGATGACAGTCTGTGTACACTATTTTGATTTGCTATAATGCAGTGGCCCATTGAAGTATAATCATTGAGAAGAAAATTGCAGGATCAGCTGTGCTGCTGTAAAGAGACATTTTCATGGTACAATACAATTTGTATTATCACAAAGCCAGGGCTATTCTTCTTTTATATGCCTGTAATTTGTTTGTCACCTAACAAAGGAATTCCTTCCCAAATGAGAACTTGTGTAGCATGTAAGGCTGCTATTCTTGGCTCTTCCTGCCATCTGTGTTCTCATCCTGAGTACATCCCTGAGCCATGTCTTATGTGAACACTTCACGCTTACCTCCCTCTATGCATTAAATCCTTCATATGTCCGATTCTCTATTTCTGCATATGCTGGGAATTATGTTACCTTTTTTATGTATAATACTAATCTTTGCATGACTACAAGGATTGCGGCAAAAAAAAAAATGAATTAGGTTGCAGATCACCAGATTTTGAGCCTGATGATGATTTTAAGAAGTTAAAGCATAGCAGGGCCTTGTGTCGGGGTGATGCATGTTCGCTTGTTTCCCGTGTTTGGTGCACATTCCCATTTACTTCAATGGGTGGCAAACATGTGAAAAGCTGTGCATGTAGCATCTGCAACACGTGTCCCATGTTTTTGATCGTGACATGAAACATGCATTTCACCGGCTGTATTTGTGGTGCCATTAACTAGTTATGGCACCGCAAGCGTGCTGCACGTTTTATAGCCGTCCGTGAATGCTTGGCAAAGCGTGCGTTTTTGTCCGACCCAAGGTCACATGCTGGAGATTTTAACACTACCTGCTCCCCATTCAAACCAGTGATTACAGCTTCTAGCCGGGGGAGAAGTCTTCTAGCACCAGCTTCCAGCACAATAAGCTGATGCTGGAATGTGTGAAAGGATCACAATAAACCATGTCATTTCAGAACATCCACCATTCATCATGCACTCCAATCACTGAGGTACTATGGAACACTTAGCATGGTGCACAGAAACCGGTCCCTACCATGAAGTTGGTTGTGTTTACCCCTCAGGCCAAAAGGCTTTCAGTTCTTTATTTTTCTATTCCTTCCCCGCGCTATCCATAAAAATTTATTTATTTTTTTTAACTGACCCTTAATGCTGGTCACATGCATTCTGACTGTGTTTCAGATTTGATCTGCAAGGCAACAAAAATTACCAACACGTTTGTATTGTGAGGGTCTGCTTGACTGCATGTACACTGAATGGATTGTTTACATATAGCCCTTACACATTTCATAGATCTCACAGATCAAATCTGAAAGTTTAGTCTTTCTCTTACTACCTTTATTGCAGTATATGATAATGAAAGAGGGGGGAGGGGGTGATTTGACTGGCTGATGTAGTTAAGAAGACCTATTCTCTTTTCACACTTTTTTGATCAATTAGTGATTTAAATTTTGTTAACTGGATTCCCCCAAGCCTAGTGGTCACTCATTAAAGCCCATTTCCTGACAGAGGCTCCATCCCTTTCCATTCCATTTCTCCCTTTCACCCATTGACTAGTTAAAATGATTTATACCTTCTGAAGCCTTTATTTTTTTATTCACTTAACTCTGCTATCCATCTCCCTTGCCAGTGCTGATTCTGCATTTGCTGATCTAGTCTGTGCCAATGCCGACCAGTCGTCTCTTCATGACATGAGTATGCTGCTGCAGTCTCTCAGATCCAGAGATGACCCACCATAATCATCTATACAACAATTATAAAAGGTCTATAGAGAAGCATAAACCCTTATGTTGGTCTTGGTATTGATCAACCACCCAACTGGACATTTTTAAAGGAGAACTATGAGGCGAGTGCTTTTCACTCACCTCATAGTTCTAGCCGACCTGTGGCAATGAGACTGTCACAGGTCGGCTCAGTAGATCGGGAGGTGAGCGAACACATACTGGGTTCGCTCGAATCTCGATCCTGTCACGGCTCTCTGCCGTAACAGGGGGAGGGGCTGGATTCCCCTCTCACCGCTCCGATCTGCCAACGCTGACTGGCGGAACGGACGGGGGAGGGGGCGGGTACAGCTGGCTCTGCCTCTAGATAGGCAGAGCCAGCTGTCACTCACGCAGCTGTGCGGATCCCGTCATCTAAGTTGTGATCCGTTCCGGCTGCGGCGTCTCAGTATACCGCGAGCTGTAGCTCGCGGTATACTGAGGTTAGGGTAACGGGAGGACGCTAGTTTGTGTCCTCCCGTTACCATAAGGAGAACTATGGGGAAAAACACTGACCCCATAGTTCTTCTTTAAAGAAGGAGTATATTATTGTGATAATTTATGGGAAATTAACTTCTTACCATCTATTTGATTCAATTTTAATCTGGAAATATTAAGATTACTAAGACTTTCTTAACAGGTATTGCTTTTGAAAGTTGCTCATTACAGGAATCTAAAAGCTTACCTGGTGTTCCAATGTGGGCCTGAGCAATAGTTAGTTTCTCATGGGGAGCTTTACACTGACAGCTTGTTTCTACAGCGAATGGAGCAGGTGCAGCAATTGCCTAAAACAGAGAGAATAGAATAAATAACCATTCCCTGTCCATGTGGCTATTAATATTATACAAACATCATTGTATTACAACCTGTTATTATACGTTCAGATTTCCTTGCTTAAGCTGTGTTTTAAATTGCCAAACAATAAAGCAAGCAAATAAATTAAAATAATTAGGATTATGGTTAATTTTATTGGCTTAAATTATTTTCTGAACTTGTTTGTTGACATGATAAATACAACATCTATACAACTTCATGAGGTCTCCTTTGTTCCTTTGAGATTTATTTATTTTTGTACTTTTGGTTTCAGAAACAGCTTGTGAGTCATTACTGATTGCAGGCTAAGCTTATAGCTATGCCTACAGGGAATATGCCACAGAGCAAAAACACATGTTAAAAGGAGACCTAAACTAGAGAGGTCCATTGCAGTCAGTCAACCTAGAAGCTTTACAAAGAGATAGTATGGGCAATAAAGTGCACACAAACCTGTGCATGAGCTGCAAAGAACTGGTCACATAACCTGAATCCAGCATGTTAGGTTATGTGACCTGCAGAAGCTCTTAATCATGTTTACAGGTGAAACTCGAATAATTAGAATATCGTGCAAAGTTAATTTATTACACTAATGCAACTTAAAAGGTGAAACTAATATATGAGATAGACTCATTACATGCAAAGCAAGATAATTCAAGCTGTGATTTGTCATAATTGTGATGATTATGGCTTACAGCTCATGAAAACCCCAAGAACCCCAAATCCACAACCTCAAAAAAGTAGATTATTACATGCAATCAATAAAACAAGGATTGTACATAGAACAATATCGGACCTCTGAAAAGTACAAGCATGCATATGTACTCAGTACTTGGTTTGGGCCCCTTTTGCAGCACTTACTGCAATTACTTTTGCACGATATTCTAATTATTCGAGTTTCACCTGTATATCATGAGTAAAGACTCTTCTGATGTCATGTGGCACAAAGTCGAAGGGCCACAGTTCCTGTTTTTTACATTTTTGCACCTTTAACTGCCCTTTCCCTCCTTTGGATAACACATACATGATAGCTTACATGATAAGCAGAATTATCTTGAGAGTTTATTCCATTCCACATAGAATACTGCATACCGTGACCACAATTTGGAGATTCGAGAGAGTTCAGTGCCCTGTGTTGAGGCATTAAGGTGCCCATACACCTGACGATTATCGGACAAAACTTTTCGTCCGATGATCGAATAGTCGTACGATTTTCGTATGGCAGCCCCATCCTGCCCCGATGATCGCAAGATTACTTTAGCCGTAATTAACGCACCTGGACGAAATGCAGTAATTTATTTGCCGTATTTTCGTTAGCGCAAGCGCAGTGTAGATTGTACGACTTTTGACGGACGGAAACTCCAGCAACCTTACGAAAATTGTACGATATAGCAAAGTTTTCAAACATACTTGACCGTCAAAAGTCGTACGATTGTACAGTATTGTCGGTCGGACACTGCAATGCACACATACGATTATCGTAAGGTGTATGGGCACCTTTAACCCTTTCGCTGCCAAGGACGTACGTCGTACGGAGCTACAAAAGTGCTTCCAGCTGGCCAGCTCAGTACGTCGTACGGACCTGGCATTTACAGTTCTACTATAAGCTGATGGTCGCTTTAGCGACCATCAGCTTATAGTAGAACTGTTCAGCAGACTGTCCCCTTTAAATTAATAGCTGTCATCAGCGGCTCACAAGCCGCTGATGACCGCTAATTTTAAAAATACCGGGCGCCCCCCCCCATTTGAAAAATGTTCCGGAGGGCTTGGCAGCGAAAGGGTTAATCTACATCATATTGTGAAACTGGAAGCACACGGCTGTTTGTGCTACTAGTTCCAAGACCAAGTTGTCACTGGCAGTGCTGGACTTACACTAATGACTGGGAACTACACTAATTGAATCACAATCTACTGTTCATGCGTTAAAGATAGCAGTAAAATGCAATGTGTTTTTTAGAGGTGCATATAAAAAAAATCTCAAAACGTGTACGATTTTCCACATCTAGTTACAGAGCAATGTGTATCTGTACAAATAAAAAGTTCTGTGCTACAATTCAAATGCCAAACATTAATAAGTACATATAAAAGATTATTTTCAAATGCATACGATATGTGCAACAATAACCAGGTCGACACAGAGAAGTGGGAGGAGCATCCTAGTACTGCCAAGGTTTGCAGCCCAGGACTTTTAGCTGCTGCCATCCATAGGTTCCATTCTATGCCATTTAGTCAGATTTTACTGATTGTTCATATGAGCAGCTTTTTAATAAAGGAATCATTTGCAAAACACAGGGAGCACTATGGTCTATATCCCCTTGTATTTTTAAGGAATCACAACATATTAACACTGTGCTGTGAAGACAGCGTTGGAGGGACAGGAAAAGGAGATAGCTCCGGATAGTGGAAACCAATGAGGGTAGGTGCCCACCTCATCAAAGGGGGAACAGCGCTCCCAAACCCTGTATGAAAGTTTGTGTATAAGGTGAGCTGCATTCCATCTGGGGTACACAAGGTGTCTTGTTATCCCGTGGTGGACACAATCCTTGCAAATCAATTGCACATAATTCTATTTTCCATGTGTGCTGGCAAAAGAATGACATACTGTACATCAATGTCTCTTAAGGAGGACTTGCACATAATAAAGACGTCCTTGAGACTGCTTTATGATTGTTGCATATTATATGTTTTTTGGAAACTTTGCATCATTGTTGCAATCCACTGGTTATTATTGCACATATTGTATACATTTGAAAAAAAAATATCTTATATGTACTTATTGATCTCTGACATTTGAATTGTAGCGCAGCACTTTATCTGTAAAGCTTTGAGGTTAGTAATTTATCTAGGATCACCAGTGCTTGCGTGCTAAAAAAAATACACTTATTGGCGGAAGATTTTTGGTGTGAATTTTAATGTGTTTCTTAACGGCAGGCACTTTTCTTTTTTTATTATTTCAAGCATATTTTTACATCTCATTTAAAGTTTATTCTCAGCTTGCATTATATGTGGAAAACAGATACACAGTATACAAGTATAATAATATCCAATAATAACTCGTATTTAATACATACTGTAAAATAATAAAATAAAACGTTAAAAATAACCTTAACAGGCATTGACTTTGCTTAGGTTTCTTTTTCTATAAAAGATCAAAGATCACGTTTCTGTAAGAAAAAACAAACTGCTACAACAACTACGGATGAAAACGCTTCCATCAGCTGAATTTCTATTTGAACATTTTTACTACTGTTCTACAGCTGGTTCTTGTGATAGATAGTTTTGTTATATTCCTTGTGATGATCTAAGGAACTGCTCATGTATGGGGGTTTTTTCCCAGTGACTCAGGGCATTTAACTTAGAATCAAGCTTACCGTACTACACCTCAATCATAGGGCAAGGAAAAATCAATCACTTGAAAACAGAACTCTAAAGAAAACTTGAGTAACTAGAGTTCCTGGAAGAAGATCGCAGCAGGGAATTATTGTCTCCTGAAGTATTGTCCACGTAATCAGAAGGAGAAAGGCGAGAAATGACTTACTACAAATATAACTATAGAGGTTTTTCTTTTCCTCTACAACTTGTATCTACAGACATAGAACTGAATTACTTAGTATCAAAAAACACAAAGTAATAATCATGAATTCCATTTTCAGGATAGAACTACTGACTTTTTGTGCAAGTGTATGTACTGGCTTAAATTACAGCTCCTTTTAACATGACAAAAAACTCTGGTAAACTTCCAAAGTTCTAGGTGAGAAACATTTATAGCCCTGATGCCCAATCTGCGGCCCTAATACACTGTTTCGCATTCCTTGGACTCCAGGCAAACAGTAGTCGTTTCCCTTACCTAGGTGCTTGATAAGACCAATGAAGGAAAATATTCTTTAGATTCCAGTAGTCAAATGGTTTGGTTTATTTTGTTCACGCTATCTTACTTTGTTCTGTGCCGCCTATCCCTTTCATCTGTTTATGTTGTTTCCCCCTCTGATCTTTTAAAATTGATCATATTATGAAAATGTCATGTCAGACACAAAAGAGCCAGAATGAAGTCTGCAAAAGGCATGTCGACAAGTGACAGTCCTACTGGGAGAATGTCCTTTGGACCACTGAAACAAAATTAGAGCTTTTTGGTAGGTCACAACAGCTCTATGTTCACAGAAGGAAAACAATGCTTTTAAAGAGAAAAAACACCATCCTATAATGTTATCTGGTTGCATTGCTGCCTTTGGCACATGGTGCCTTTAATCTGTGGAGGACACTATAAGATCAGAAGAGGCATTCAGAAGTAAATCATAGTTGTCAGTATTTGAAGGATCTGTCTCAATGACAGGTTATGGGCCCTACATTAGGTTAATGACGCAAAACATACATCTACGGGTTCCCAAGAATGGTTAAAAAGCAAACACTGGACTGTTCTGAAGTGGCCTACGAGTCCTGATCAGATTACAATAGCAAATTTATGGGAAAAACTGACACCTAAAGTTTTGAAAAAAGAACCAATCTAACCGAAATTCAATAGGTGCAGTTTGCTCATGAAGAGTTGGAAAAATTGCGAGTTAAAATGTAAAACCCTCTTTTTTTCGTTTAGGATAGAATGGGAAGGGTGAGACCCTCTATCAATGTTTTATTCCTGTCCGTATCCCAATTGGGGGGATTCACTGCCCTATTTGTACTGGTGACCATTATCACCGAAAAAGACAGTAAGGAGAAATCAAAAATCTTAGAGTTGTTCCCAGAACAAGAGGTAAGGGAAAATCTTCCAAAGGGGAAGCCATTCCTATCACTTTGGGTGATTTCCTATAACTTCCTGTTGCATCTCTGTGGCACGAAATGGAGGTACATTTCCCTAATGGTACACAGAGAGCAGAATATAAAATAGTAGGGGTTTTAATCCTTCATTACTAGTCAAGATTTATAAAAAGTTTTGGCTATATGTACACTTTTATGAAGTGTAGAAGACATAGTCAGAGCTACA